ACTTTAAGACGAGTTTAATCTGCGCTGGGTAGCCACATTTTGAAAATGGAGCCACCCTCCATATTTGAAGCTAATGCAAAGTTTTACGACGAACCTGCGTGGCGCCGGGGCGAGAGCCACATCTTGAGAGGGAGCTGCCCTCCATCCTTGAAGGTGTTGCAAGCTTTAATGAGACGAATGCGCGCGGCGCGCAAGCGAGAGCAACATTTTGAAAGCCGCCCACACGCCGTCCGTGAAACTCTTGCAGAGGTCGAGCTCCTGGCTCGTGCGTGGCGGGGGGGAGCTCCGGCGGCACGTCCAGCCCGCCATTTCCGACTCGCCCTGGCGGTGCGAGGCAGGCAGGAGTTGTGTAAGGATAAGTGGGGGAAGGAGCCTCCTGGGACCCCCAGAGGCCGCCACGAGCGCGCGGAGTATACAAGCAGCGTGGAAGAAGCCACAGAGAGTTTAGCACGCCTTTTGGCCTGCTGGGCCGACGATTTGGAGTACACATCGAGGCGTTGCAGTCTGGGTCCCGTTTGCCTCATTTTCTTCCTCTTCGGCTCCCCGGTATAAGACGCCTTGCTGTTTGTTGCGCCATCGGTTGTGCACCCGTGCCGGCGAAATCAAGCGACTTGTTATCGAAGACGCCTGCGGCGGATCACCGCCGCCCCCTGCCCCTTTGGAAACGCCTCTGTGGCCGACAGCTGGGCCAGAGCTTGGCCAAGCTTTCGGGCCAGTTGTTCACCGAGTCGGTTTGGAAAGACTTTTGGGAACGCATGGGGGAGCAAGAAGAGGAGGAGGGGGAGGAGGAGGAAAAAGGAGGAGGAGGAGGAGGAGGATGAGGAGGAGGAGGAGGAGGAGGAGGAGGAGGAGGAGGAGGAGGAGGAGGAGGAGGAAGAGGAGGCCTCTTGGGCGCCTCTTGCGGCCTGCTGGGAGCTTCCTGTGGGCCTCTTGGAGGGTTTTGGGGGGCCTTTGGGGGCTCCTTGGGGGCCTCTTTGGCAGTCTTAGGGCGTTCTTGGCTTGCCTGACGCCGTCGGAAGCCGTCTTGGTGGCCTGTCTGGGTCGTCTTGGGGCCCTCTTGGGGCATACCAGGGGTTCGTAGAGGCCATCTTGGGCGTCTTGGAGGCCTCTTGGGCTGTTTTGGGGCCCTCTTGGGGCCGTCTTGGGGGCCTTTTGGGCCGTCATGGGGCCATCTTGGAAGCCTTTTGGGCGATCTTGGGGCGCCTCTTGCGCCGTCTTGAGCCGTCGGAATGCCGAGAATAATCAAATGCCAACATCTTTCAAACACCTAAGGACAAACAATGATTTTGGCCTTTCGTGGGCCTCTTGGGCCGCCTTGGAGGCCTTGGAGGCGCCTTGGACGCGCCTTGGGGGCCTCTTGGGAGCCTCTTGGGCCGTCTTGGGGGCCTCTTGGGGGCGCCATTGAGGCCTCTTGGGGGCCTCTTGGGCCGTCTTGGGCCATCTTGAGGCCATCTTAGGCCGTCTTGGGTGCATCTTGGGCCTTCTTGGAGGCATCTTGGGGCCATCTTAGCCGTCTTGGAGGCCTCTTGGGCCGTCTTGGGGCCCTCTGGGGGGCATCTTGGGGGCCTCTTGGGCCGTCATGGGGCCATGTTGGAGACCTCTTGGGCGATCTTGGGGCGATCTTGGGGGCCTCTTGGGCCGTCGGAAGGCCGAAAAGGCGACAATGCCAAAATCCTTCAACAACCTTGGGACAATCAATGATTTTGGCCTCTTCGGGCCTTCTTGGAGGACCTCGTGGAGGCCTCTTGGGCTGTCTTGGAGACCTCTTAGGGGGCTCTTGGGCCGTCTTGGGCCATCTTGAAGCTATCTTAGGCCGTCTTGGGTGCATCTTGGACCGTCTTGGAGGCATTCTGGGGCCATCTTAGCCGTCTTGGAGGCCATCTTGGCCGTCTTGGAGGCATCTTGGAGGCCATCTTGGGCCATATTGAGCGAAACATGGGGGAATTGAGATCCTGGGCAATCTTTCCGGGTGGCCGGCGGGACGGGCCGAAGGCCCCGGGAGAGTTTTTTTGGAAAAAGAACCAAAACCAAACCGAAAGGGTCCAGTACGCCAGGCACCCCTGTGATGAATCGACAGGGGGCGGCAGATCTAATGACCTTCGGCCCATCACGCCACCGTGCCTGGGTTGTAGGTATGAAGCCAATGGAATGTTGGTTGGGATCTCGTGGGAGGCTTCTCGGGTCGGGGTGGAGGCTGCTTGGACGCCTCTTGGGGGCCGTCAGGGGGTGGGGCCTCTTTTGGGCCTCTTGGGGGTGGTCTCTTGGGGACATCCTGGGCGCCTCTCGGGGCCTTTTGGGGCCTCCTGGGGCCTCCTGGGCGCCTCTTGGGGCCTCCTGGGGGCGTCTTGGGGCGGAAGGGTCGGATTTTCGGTTCGTGTTCCCTCTCTTGGGCCCTTCTTGGGCCCCTCTTCGGGCCATTTTGGGCCCTCCGCCTCTTGGGCCGTCTTGGGGCCGTCTTGGGGCTTCTTGGGGCCCTCTTGAGGGCCTCTTGGGCCGTCTT